TTGCAGTAAATCCCTGAGAGAGAAGAGTTGCTTTCCACTTTTCAAGCAAAAAGCAATGTTTAGTCAACGTAGGAAGTAAGGATTTTTCTATTGTTTCCAAAATAAAAAAATTGGCGTAACCAGAACCACGATCGCGCGTAAATTAATCATCGAAATGACTCGGAATTGTAATAAGCGTCTAAGAATAAAATGGATTTTCTGTTAGCGAGAACATCTAGATCTGAGTACTTAGTCCCGATACTTATTGACCGATGCGTTACATAAATAATGAAACTTTGTGTTTGTTTATCACTTTGTAATAGATATACATTCTCATTATTTTTTCCATGTTTCATTACAAATATTGTAAATAAACTTTTAACATGCATTATTAGTATATTTCTAAACATAAGAAAAAAAACTGGAAATGTTCTATAAAAAAATAAAGTATTTAAATCATGTGAGAAAGTTAAATTTCCATAGAAGGATGCATTTTTAATACTTACCATTTCCTTATGATTACACTAAGGATAGATACATGTAAATATTTAGGTGTGCCTAGCCAAAGGTCAGAAAAATTACTACACATTTACCTTTGGATGGGTGATTATGAAAATTGCAAAGTTGATTGTAAGCTCGCCACCAAAGACGTTTTTTAAAATAAAAACAAATAAAACCAGCATAGTTAACATTAAATACCCTACAGTTTTTCATGTAACGACTTTTCAAAATAGGGCATTATATGGGAAATGGTCGAAGAAATCGTCCTATCCGAGTTATTTTCGATAGCGTTCATCCTTGGGTCAAAACAATAGGTTGAGCGCAATATCAACACGGACAGACAGACAGACAAGCTTAGATCGATTCAGAAGGTAATTCCGAGTCGTTGCATATAAAAAAAAATTGGGTCTATCGCTACACCTTCTGGCTTTGATACACCATTAGTGGTGTAGGGTATAAAAAAAAAAAAATTCAACTGTACTTAAGTTGTCAGTCTGTCTGTCTGTCCGCAAGTCAGTCAGTCAGTCAGTCTGCCTGTCTGTTCGCAAGTCTGTCAGTCAGTCAGTCTGTCTGTTAGTCTGTGTGTCAGTCTGTCTGTCAAGTTGTCATTTATTCAGTCAATCGGTTAGTCTGTCAGTCTGCCAGTCTGTCTGCAAGTCAGTCAGTCACTCATTCATTCAGTCTCTCTGTCTGTCTGCAAGTCTGGCGGTCTGTCAGTCTGTCTATCAGTCTGTCTTTCAGGCTGTCATTTATTCAGTCAGGTTGAGCGCGATATCAACACGGACAGACAGACAGACAAGCTTAGATCGATTCAGAAGGTAATTCCGAGTCGTTGGATATAAAAAAAATTGGGTCTATCGCTACACTTTCTGGCTTTGATACACCATTAGTGGTGTAGGGTATAAAAAAAAAAAAATTCAACTGTACTTAAGTTAGCTGCCCTTTTGCTGATATTCATTTATTTTAGTGTAAATATAAATATTTTCCTGACAAAATGTGCTTAAAATATATCTCGTAAACTGGAAAAATCTGTAAGGATCTTGCGCTTATAAGTGAAAGTATTTTTTATGTTCATCGCTCTTCTAAACTAAAAACTTGGGAAATTTGTATGCGTTAGGCTTACGAAACATTTAGATTTTATTTTATGTGTCGAGGATTTGCTTCTCTTTTTGCAAGTTTAAGTAATTCTTATTCTTGACAAGTTTGGAAAAAGTTCGCAAAGGATTCTTTCATGTGTGATTATAAAAAAGAAAAAAAAAAAACAAAGAAAGAATTTTTCATCAAAGCAAAAAAAGAAAAAAACGAAAAACCTTAGTTTTTCTCACTTCGTTTGTCACATACAAAAAGTGCGCATCGAAAGCTCTACGGAGCCAAAGCGAACCCGTAGTTACTATAAGATATCTATTGCGCAAAGGCAAATTTCACTTGATCTCAATATGTAATTACTCTGAGGAATATGGTGTCAAAAATGAATGCGGTTTCGTTACGCTTGAAAAATTTCTTCTTTTTTCACCCCCCCTACTTATGTCCCACACTACGTTCTTTATTCATATTTGAAATTTTTAATGAAACTGTTCAGATGTATGTTTTTTGAAAGGAATCTAAGATTCGTTTTCAGATGAACTTACTTGCTTTGTTACTTGCTTCATTACTAATTTTCTTATACCCATCACCGAAGGTTGAAGAGTATATTCATTTTGTCAAAACGTCTGCAACACCCAGACCATAGCGTCGCAGACGTGATAAAGTATTTATGTATTCTTGATAAGCCTGAAACTCTGAATCGATTTAAGCATATCCGTCTGTGTAATGTCCGTTGTAAACACTCTTCTGGTCGCACATATGAGGCTATCGACATCAAAATTTCATGTCCGTCTGTTCGTCCCCTGTTAGGGAAAATGAAATAATATCGCCTAAAAGCTTGCAAAGGAATTTGAAAATGCCGTAAACTGGTCAAACGAAAGGCCTATGGACACGCACACGCCTAACAAAAACTTTTATTTTAAAAATATCAAAATCAGCCGCGCCCACTCCATATTAGAGAGCATGAAAATTTCGTCCTTTCCCTTTTGTTTTTCCCTTTTTAACATAACGATGATGGGTCTAAAAGATTCGGTCATGATCGAATATAATTTTTTTACTTTTTTTTTTCTTTTTGTTTTTTCCTTTTCCTTTTTGTTTTTGTGCAATTTTTAATTAAACTATTTTTACTACCCTGAAGTGCATGATTACCTCAGAAAGAGAAGCTTTCCTTTTTTTTTAATTAGTTGCTTTAGAAAGCGACATATGCGGGCTATTTTGTTGTTTATAAAGTAAACGTGAAGTCGCAAGGTATCTGACTTTATG